GTCGCAGTAGTAGTCGCAGTAGTAGCAGCAGCAGTAATAGGACTGCAGTAGTACAGTAGTAGTACGGTAGTACAATGGTAGTGCAGTAAAATTACCGAAACACCATAGTAGTATAGTAGTGCAGCAAAGTTACCGAAACACAACAATAGTACTGTGTAGTACAGTAGTAGTACAATGTAGTACAGTAGTAGTACTGTGCCGTACAGTACTAGTACAGTAATAGTACAGTCCTAGTAAATAGTTGTTCAGTAGTAGTACAGTACGAGGGTTTAGGGGTACCCAGAGAAGTTTTGAGGCGGGTTTAGGGAGAGCCCAAATCTCGAAACCAAACCCCGATCACCCCAAGATAACGACCAAGACTGCAAGCCTTCATTTTGAAGACTTGTTCTTGATCCAGCAGCCTGAGGCCTGCTAGTATGCCCAACTACTCAATTTAGATTGACATTAGCAGAAAGGATAAATCAAACCAAAACATGCGCCGCGCCCAAGCGCATGACCGAGGACGGACAACGATACTGCCAAAAACTGAAGGAGTCACAGGAAAACACGTTAAAGAGGTTTACCCGATTAAAGCCGGTGCGACAGTGAAGCCGCGCACTCCCGGTTTGCAAATAAATCGAGACTGGTTTCATATGGACGGTTCTGCAGAGACAGATCGCCGGCACCCGTTGCATCGCTGGGTCAGTAACTCGGTCGTTGTTATTCTCTGGTTGGCGATTAGTAATCGTCACCTGCATGCTCTAACTGGAATCAACCATGTTCCTACTCCGTTCCGTTTGGTGCCTCTCCTCCACCCGAAGCTGTGGCTGGGTGCGTGCCTTGGGCATTAGGCTTGTGCTATCGTCTTGGGAGCTTTTCGCAATATGTTTACACTTGTGATGCGAGTGCCATGAGGCAGCAGACTTGACCTCCGTGGTTATAACATCTGACAAGCTTAGCCGGCTCAGCCGCGGATTCGCGCTAAGAGGCCACCAGATTTGCAGATGTGTGCAGGCGACTCGAGCCACAATTAAGGCAATGATTTAGGCAGTGGAGACAATACAAGGAAGCTGTCGTGTCGCAGGGGCTAAGGCGGCCTTAGCCATGAGCAGAGCCTCAGCGCCTTCCGTTCATGCAAAGTCGTGGCGGGATTGCTGCTTGGAGCAGCCCAGGTGCAGCTTTGATGCAATCTTCAACACGCCACGCCGTAGTTTCGTAGTTTTTGTTTCAGTTCTCGCAGTCGTTTCTCGTCAAAACCCAAGCGGGGTCTCACGACGTGTCCCTGCTTTCATTATTCTTCATCAACGGTTACAGCAACAATTTTTGACGAGCTGCATGCTGTGGCCTTCAGATACTGGCTGAATCCGCCCGTTGTGTCTTCTCACTCGCCGTCCTCCCGAATTGGTTTGCTCTGTGTGTCGCTGCCTGGGTTTATCAATGTTCGGAGTGAGTCGAAAGCTAGTTGTAAGGATAGGATCCGAACAAGTGTTACGGTTGTAGTTTCAGGATCAGCCGACTTTTTTTGCTTCAGGGTCCCTGTGCTATCCCAATACTTACGTGGTGTGTAGCGCTGGCAGTCTGCTTGACCATGTGGCCCCGCACTGAGGAAACCTCGTCAAGTTCATGTCTTCCGATCCGGTTATACTGGATGTCCTCGCGTCCATTTGCAAAGATGCGTTGCAGATGTTCGAGCGCATCGTCATTGTTTTCGATGACAAGGCTCGCTAAATGTAACCAAGCCTAGGCTGGATACACACCAGAAGAAACGTTGACATCACCGTAGAGCATGCTGCATCGCATTCCCCGCAGGAAGAGCGCCGGGCAAATATCTGCATTTCGAAGCATTTCATCTATTTTGTGAATCGGGACCTCCATCTGCACTTGTGGCGGGTTTCGTGAATCTGTGCACATGTGATACTGTTGAATGTGGAAATACTGCACACAACACGTACATGCTTTGGATTACCTAAGGAGATGAGCAAGCTGATAGAAGGTCGAGCTTCGGTCGCAACCACAGCGCGGGGGCATCGGTAGACATCTCGTTTTTGCTCGGCTGCGGGACGACTTGTGCGGAGTCTGGAGCGAACGGAATACTTTCGCAATTGCACGGCTTGTCACTTTTGCGACGCGGGCTCTCTGAGGAGAAAGAATATCCTACTTGGACATCACCCGCGCAGTTGTCGACAGCTCCACGAATCGCTACTTCTTGCTAGAGCTGCGACCGTCACAGGGATCCAGCTGGAGTGGCACGAGGCCTCTCGACTCGTCGTCTCATTGTTTTCTCCAGACAGAAAGTCAGACACAGCTATGCTGTTCTTCAGTCCATGTCTCCCTTGAGTACAGGATCCTGGTGCAAAGCACCCACCGAGACTGGGATGCAATGCACTGTGTGGCTAAGGTAGGTTCGATGTGTTTTTGGGTGTCGATGTTGCGACATTTCGTTGGCAGCGCACCTTTCGAGTCGTATGGGGTCTTTGCACAAACTGGCACAGCCTCTCAAGTTGCAGCTGGGCAGTCTTAACTTCAAGTACACTTCAGTTCACTGCATCCTGTCATGGTGCTTCTAAACAGCGTAGCATCGGCGCCTACGTGCACACTGACACCGGTATGTTGGATGAAGGCACTGGCTGAGCCTCCATCCACAAATACATGTGCAGCCGCCGTTGCATCTTTTCTTGAGATTCTCGACTTCTGCGCTTATCCTCATGCATGGCAGTTACTGGCATGGGAATTCGCCAGCCGTGTGATTGCCTCTCGAGTGTTCACTGCTCTCCAGTTCCTCAACATGCCGCCGAGTTGGTCCTCACAATCTCTGAGGTGAGCTTCTTCTCCAGAAGATTGCTCTTTGCTGGCAGGTCGTCTCAACTAAGCTGCATTTTAATGTTGCGGCTGGTGTAACTCACTGTGCAACTACGGTGACATGTCTTTTTCCTGACAGGCGGAAGTGATGTACCGCTTGTTCGACGTGAGGAAGTTTGAGATGGTGAAAGCGGCTCTGGGCGAACAGCTAGCAGCTGTGAAGAACATGTTGCTTGGCTTCAGCGTTCACAGGGCATCCTGGAACAGGACCTGCCTTTCCATTCGTCACAGCTGGCACCTCAGGATGGCAAAGCAAAATGACTTGATCAAGGCCTATCCGGTGAGTTTGCTAGTTCAACTGGCAATCGTCATTGTTGTGCGAAATCCTCTTGTTGACTTGAGTGTGCTGGCTGCAGATTGAGCCGTTCCGGGGCTACGAAGACAGCTTCAGCTACCGTGGCTACAGCTTTTGGCTGCGGAAGGCGAGATGTCACCGAAGCCGTGAAGCAGCAGAGCTGTGAATGCAAAGTTACATGTACCTCCACCAGTCCCACGTCCTTTGGCTTTCTTGCGGTGCAAAGGTGCAGAGGAACTGGGGTTCGGTACTGTAGAGGGATGTGCGGACGCAGTGTTGGGAAGAGGTGAAGCGGACAGCTCCGAAAAGTCATGCCTGCATTTCGCAGGGCTTTGCAAGTGTGTCGGGCCTGAAAGACGGAGTTTTCCAGAACGACCAGGCGGGCCGGAAGCCTGCTCCGCCTATCCTATCCCCGTGCTGCAGAAAGCAGGAATCCCGAAGTTCTCGTGTTGGCATGCCGGTCTCAAGGCTCAAAGGATCTCCGTCTTTAGTGCTTGTTTCGCCCCTGGGCCCTGTCTCTCCGCATGCTTGCACCGGACACGATTAAACTTGCCGAAAGCCACGGAGTGCGGACTCCGCCGGTGCCAGGTGGAGTCTTCCTCACAGGTACTTTACCCAAGGAAGCAGTGGCTGAGATAAGTACCTTGTGCAAATCCTGGCTCTTCCTGAACCCAGAGACAGATGTGAACTTGCACAGAGAGGAGATCGAAGCTGGTGGTGCCAAGCTGCAAGTGATCCTATGCTGGACTCAGCACTGAAGGATATGATATCTTGTTTGAGTTGATCATGTGCTGTACGCCTTGATAAGTTGTAACTGAGCTCAGGATCGCCTTTATGCCTACACACTTTGATTTACCGGGACGAGTGGACGAGGTCATTGATGCAGTGAGGACTCTTCCTAGGCCTTTGCTCATTCAGTGCAACAGCGCTGTTCGAGCCAGCCTTGCAGTCCTGCTGTGGCTGGCCCGTGAGCGCGGCTACACGGGTGCCTGCGCGGAGCTACTTGCGCAAGATCTTCAGCTGGACATTCTGAAGAAGCCAGAGATTGTCGACTGGATGAAAACCTACCTGCCCCAGCTCAACCCAGGCGACGGGAAAGTAGATCCTCTGGCCACCCTGGCCATCAGCCCGGAGGTCCGGCAGCTTTTTGATCCACAGAGCAGCACCTTGACATACCTCGTCGTCTGTCCGGACACAAACGAAGGTGTTCTGGTTGATCCGGTCATGGGGCAGAAGGCCCGCGACATGGCCATCATCCAAGAGCTAGGGGTCAAACTCAAGTACGTCATCAACACGCATTGCCATGCGGACCATGTCACCTCAGCAGGGGTGATTCAAAAGGAATGGTCGGCTGTTCGCACCGTGATCTCCGACGCCTCAGGAGCTAAAGCCGACATCCGCTTGAAGCATGGAGACAGGGTGAACGTTGGCAACTTGAACCTCGATGCACGAGCCACACCAGGTCACACCGACGGCTGCAATTCCTTCGTTCTGGAAGGCAGTGGGATTCTGGTCTCCAGGATTTCGGTTGGTTGTGGTTGAGGCTCAGTTGAAGTCGGGTTCTCTGAATCGATCCAGTCTCAAGTTGTGTTGTTTTTCTTGTCAGGAACCCGCTGCAAAAAGCAGAGGGCGGAAGCTCGTTAGGGGTCGGGTGGACGGGACAGACAGGCCTCAACAAGGCAAAGAAAGCAGCAAGCGAAGACAAGAGGGAGAAGTCTTGTATAACATGCCAAGCAGCTCGCACCTGGCATAGCCCTGCTGGATCCTGCTGGCCTTGTTCGTAAATTCGATCATCTTATGGATAGGAATGTGGACAGCCCGGCAACATTGCACCTTAGGCTTATTGTCGTCGTGAGTTGTATGAGTTGTGAGGCCGAGCTTCCAGGCTCGTTTTCACCGGGGATGCGCTGCTTGTCCGTGGCTGTGGCAGAACGGACTTTCAGCAGGGCTGTGCTGGTCGCCTGTATGACAGCGTCCACAGTCAGATCTTCACCCTCCCAAGTGACACCATCGTTTGCCCAGCTCACGACTGCAAAGGCCGCAGCGTGTCGACAGTTCAGGAAGAGCTGCATTTCAACAGTCGACTGACCAAGACGAGAGATCAGTTCCAAGACATCATGAAGAACTTGGATTTGCCATACCCTGCCGAAATGGATGTTGCGGTTCCTGCGAACATGTTATGTGGCATCCAGGACTAGTGGCACATCTGTGAGGAGCAGGGATACAGATCCGCCGCATTCCCTCAGGAGCTTAGTGGCAACTGTCCACTGAAGTACCCAGATCAGGAACGGCGTTCAGTAGTAATTCGCTTTGCTGCGCGCGGCGCTGCTCCGAAATCAGCCAGAGCATCCAGAGCGCAAGATGTGCTTCATAAGTATGAGTCCTCCTGCCACGCTGGTCAACGGAGATTCTTAATCTCTTCGCACTGAGACGCTCCAGCTATCCTGCTCAGCGGCAGACAGCGTGCGTGAACTCGCTTTCAACTGCGAATGAATGCGCGTTGTTTGATTTTCCATGCCCTCCTGTGTCTTCACAAGCAGGGCAGCACCGACGAGCGTAACGGCGCAACAGAGGAGAAAGCAGAAAGGTGTCAAGTAGCCTGAGCAACCCTGCAGACCGTGCGCGGATCTTTGCGCAAAGCCTGCACAGGGCTGGGAGGTGACCTACAAGGCACAACCAGTCTCCGTGCCCCCTGGTGTCCGTCCCAAGCTCAATTCGGGGCACAGCAACTTGGACGGTACACTGACTGAATCAGAGCGAGGAGTCATGGTTCAAGTCGACAATGAACAGTTGATCATGGACCTCGAGAAGTCTCGTGATGGCCCGCCTTGTTGAGGGCCTCTGTGCTAGTCTGCTAGTCGTACTGTAACATGTTTGGGTGCGCTCATTCATGGTAGCAGCAGCAGTACCAGTAGCAGTAGCAGTAATGTAGTAGTAGCAGCAGCAGTAGCAGTAGCAATAGCAATAGCAGTAGCAGTGGCAGTAGCAGTAGCAGCAGCAGCAACAGCAGCAGCAGCAGAAGGGGCAGGAGCAGGAGCAGGAGAGTAGCAGTAGCAGTAGCAGTAGCAGTAGCAGTAGCAGTAGCAGTAGCAGTAGCAGTAGCAAAAGCAGGATCAGGAGGAGGAGTAGTAGTAGTAGTAGTAGCAGCAGCAGCAGCAGCAGGAGAAGAAGAAGTAGTAGTAGTAGTAGTAGCAGTAGCAGTAGCAGTAGCAGTAGCAGTAGTAGTAGTAGTAGTAGTAGTAGTTGCTGCTGCTGCTACCACTACTACGACTTCTGCCTCTGCTGCGGCTGCTGCTGGTCCTGTTCCTGCTGCTGCTGCGGCTGCTGCGGCTGCTGCTTCTGCTGCTGCTGCTGCTACTACTACTACGACTACTGCTGCTACTGCTACTGCTACTCCTGCGCCTACTTCTACTGCTACTCCTACTCCTACTCCTACTCCTATTCCTACTGCTGCTGCTGCTGCTCCTACCACCACCACCACCACCACGACCACGACCACCACGACCACCACCACCACCAGCACCACCACCACCCCCACCACCACTACTACTGCTACTACTACTCCTACAACTACT